GGAAGTATTTCAGATTGCATGTGAAAACCCCACACTGTACCCCAGAAGTGCATTAATGTACATAGTTACCATTCAATAAAAAAAAAAGAAGAAAAGAAAATATACATCAGATCATTCTCCTCCCAAGTTTGCCACTGCAACTAAATTAAATTCCAACCCTTTGCTGCAGCCAACAGGGTCCCTTGTGAGATGACCCTGCCTGCCTCTCCACCCTGCACTCATTATAGCTGCCCCACCCATGATGACCCCCTTTGGACAAGCTGAGCTCTTTTATACACCTGGGTCTTAGCAGTAGTGGTTCCCCTGCTTGGAATGCTCTTCTCCAGAATGTTCAAATGGCATCTCCTGTTTGTAATCTTAGCACAGGTAAATCTCTTCAGGCCTTATAGATAATAGACCTTTTTTTCAGTTACTCACTCATCCTATTCATTTCCATCACATCACTTAAAATAAACCAATGCTGACTTTAATGTGTGTTTGCTTTTTTACTGACTGCCCTGGCCCACTGGATGTCAGTCTACTAAAAGAAAAGTCAGCCAGGTATTGCAGTGGGGGCCTGTAGTCCCAGCTACTTGGGAGCCTGAGGCAAATGGATCACTTAAGCCCAGGAGTTTGAGGCTGCAGTGGGCAAGGCTGACGCTATGGCACTCTAGCCTGGGCACCAGAGTGAGATTCTCTCTCTCTCTCTCTTTTTTTTTTTTTGAGACAGATTCTTACTTTCTCACCTTTGTTAGAGTGCTGTGCTGTCATAGCTCACAGCAACCTCAAGCTCTTGGGGTCGAGTGGTTCTTTTGCTCAGCCTCTGGAGTAGCTGGGACTACAGGTGTCTGCCACAATGCCTGATTACTTTTAGAGTTCAGGCTGGTCTCAAACTCATGAGTTCAGGTGATCTATGTGCCACCATGCCCAGCTAGACTCTGTCATTTATTTATTTATTTATTTTTGAGACAGAGCCTCAAGTTGTCACCCTGGGTAGAGTGCTATGGCACCACAGCTCACAGTAACCTCCAATTCCTAGGCTCAAGCAATTCTCTTGCCTCAGCTTCCCAAGTAGCTGGGACTACAGGTGCATGCCACAGTCACAGTGCTAGGGTGTTTCTAGAGATAGGGTCTCTCTCTGGCTCGGGCTGGTCGCAAACTCCTGAGTTCAGGGGATCCACCAGCCTCAGCCTCCCAGAGTGCTAGGAATACAGGCATAAGCCATCAGGCCTAGACCTTTTAATTATTGTTCTAGTGGGAAAGTGAAGACAGTTTTTCAGTAATTTTTACAATAAAAAAACATGCGCTGGAACCTGCTTTTCATCTAGCTGCTTACCTTACATGGAGCTCCCAGCTACTGTAAGCCCTTTGAGGGTAGAAAAAAAGCTGTTTCTTCTACAGCCCAGGTACATAGTAAGGGTTTAATTAACATTTGTTTTGTTTTGTTATTTTATTTTTTATTATTTTGTGGAGACAGAGTTTCACTTTATTGCCATGGTAAAGTGCCATGGTGTCACATAGCTCACAGCAACCTCCAACTCCTGGGCTTAGGTGATTCCCTTGCCTGAGCCTCCCAAGGACCCGGGACCACAATGCCCAGCTATTTTTTTGTTACAGTTTGGCTAGGGCCGGGTTTGAACCTGCCACCCTTGGTATATGAGGCTGGCACTCTGCCCACTGAGCCACAGGTGCCGCCCTTGTTTTGCTATGTTTTGTTTTTGAGCCAGAGTCTCACTTTGTCACTCTTGTTAGAGTGCTCTCAAATCATAGCTCACAGCAACCTCCAACTCTTGGGCTCAAGTGATATTCTTTTGCCTCAGCTTCCCAAGTAGCTGGGACTACAGGTGCCCGCCACAACACCCAGCTATTTTTTTGTTGCAGTTTGGCCAGGGCTGGGTTTGAACCCGCCACCCTTGGTATATGGGGCCGGTGCCCTACTCACTGAGTCACAGGTGCTGCCACCTGTTCTTGCTCTGGCTGATCTTGAACTTATGAGCTCAGGGCAATTCACTCACCTCAGCCTCCCAAAGTGCTAGGATTACAAGTGTGAGCCACCATGCTGGGCCTTTAATTAACATTTTTAAAGGAACAGATCAATTTGAGTGTTGGTAGGTTTTATCCTTTTGCTCCATCTTTTTTTTTTCTGAGTCAGAATCTCTGTCACCTTGGGTAGAGTGGCATGAGTCACAGTTCAGGCTCAGCGCCTATTAGCTCAACCGGCTAAGGCGCCAGCCATGTACACCTAAGGTGGCGGGTTCAAATCCCCAGCCCGGACCCGCCAAACAACAATGATGGCTGCAACC